TTTCCATGCATGTTAAAAATAATTTGATTTTGAAAGCATTTTAAATAATTCATCAAAAATAGTGCATACGTCTTTGTCTTCTTGCTGCTTATATTCTAGAGGAGGAGACAAAAAATAATGAACACAAACAAAATATGGGGTTTAAGAATAATTACAAAGAATGCAAAATAAATACTAGAAATAGTGAATAGAGACAGAAGTACTATTTAAAAAATATTTTAAATACTGTGGTTCTTAGCTTGATGTATCCCCTCACCTCCTCTTTTTTTTTAATCTTTGCTTTCATTTGCTTGGATAATAACATTCATCATTGAAGATTCCTCTAGATTCAATACCATGGAATATTCTGCCTATGTTCCTATGTTCTCCTCAATATAATTTACTGAATCTGGTACCATTCATTCATTCATTCATTCATCATCCTGTTATTCGTTGATTGCCTCGAGCAGGCCCCAGTAACATCTCTTTCATCCTAGCCCTGAGATTATATTCAAGGCTCTTTAGGAGAATGAGACCCATCATTGTTACTGGTATCTGGCATATTTGGTATGCCACAGGGAGTTTGCCAGACTCTGCCCTGTGGGCAGGCTACATTTGATAACCTGCAAGTTTGTCCAAAGTAGGAATGAGATAATAAGATGTCATAAAAAGATGTTCTGATAAGATGTCACGGGGCCGCGAATGCTGCCTCGCGGTTCCAGGGACTGGATTTTATAGTCTCTGAGTCTTGGCCGTTGATGGGATTACACGGCGCCAGGGGGCCAGGTGGTGGGTGTGACCCCCGCCTACTGGAATTTGGAGGATCTGGGTGGAGGATGCTCTACTCCAATCCGAGTAGGCAAGACTGAGTATCAAGATATATAATCTGTTCTGATTTGGCCTTTCTTTCATGGTGTTAGAAGGGGGTCTGAGTTAACTTTTTTCCCATGTCACTAAGTTTTCTCAGCACCCTTTGTGAAGAGTATTTCCTTGCTACATTTCATACTTTTCACTCCTTCATCGAAAATTAACTGTCCATAAACTTGTGGATTAATCTCTGGACCTTTCATTCTTTCCCATTAGTCTGGGAGTCTGTTCTTATTCTAGTAACACATTGCTTTTTAAAATAAGGCTGTAGAGTACAATTTGAAGTTGGGGAAAGGGAAACCTCCCACCAAGAAGTACTTTTTTTTCTTTTTTTTTTTTAGTGAGACAACATGAGGTACAGTAGTAGACTTAGGAACTTTTGTGTTTGGGTTTCAATTATACAATGATCAAGTACCCATCACTCCACCAGTGCCTATTCTCCACCGCCAATAATCCCAGTAGACCTCCCACCCCTCCTATCGCCCCAGTTCTATGTCAGGACATTCCCTTTTGCTCTTTGGGGTGTTGTGGTTTTCAACAGAAGTATTGAGTGGCCATTATGTTTGGCTATAGTCTACTTTCAGCACACATCTTGCATCCCAAGCAAGTCCTCCAAACACCCTTTACTTGGTGTTCCCTTCTCTCTCTGAGCTGTGTTTTCCCTCAGCATGTGCTGCCAGCTTCCAAGCTGTGGAGCCTGGTACTTATCTCAACTATTCTTGGGTGTTCAGCTCCCATTCTGTTACTTTATATTCCCCAGATGAGTGCAGTCTTTCTATGTCTATCCCTCTCTTTCTGATTCATTTCACTTAGCATACTACTTTCCATGTAGAACCACTTGTTTGCAAATTTAATGACTTCATCCTTTCTAACTCCTGCATAGTATTCCATTGCGTAGATGTTCCAAAGTTTCTTTAGCCAGTCATCTGTTCTTGGGCACTCAGGTTTTTTCCAGATTTTGGCTATTGTGAACAGTACAGCAATGAACATACAAGTGCAGATGTCATTTCGACTATACTTTTTTGCCTCTCCGGGATATATTCCCAGGAGTGGTATTGCTGGGTCAAATGGGAGCTCAATTTCTAATTTTTTGATAATCGTCCATAATGTTTTCCAAAAGCACTGAACCAGTCAGCATTCCCACCAGCCGTGAAAGAGAGTCCTTTTCTCGCCACATCCACGCCAACACTGGTTGCTTTTGTTCTTTTGTATGTGTGCCAGAAGAAGTACTATTTTTGATAAGTCAATGAGGTCTGCTCTGAAGAGGAAACAATAAGAAAGGAAACAATGTAAAAGAAGGCTATGCAGAAATCTTGGGGAAGAGTGACCTGGGTAGATGATCTGCCCTAGGACCATGGTAGCAAAGGTACTGATAATTTTGGAGGAGTGGTGGGGATAGGTTTGTGTGTGATCTTGTGGGTTACCACTTTGGATTTTGTTCTTTATATGGTTGGAAGACAATAGACTTTTTTTTTTATGTTCTACCAGATTTCCTCCTCTTTCCAATATTTTGGACTTGCCTCCTGCACAGACAGTGTGCCATAGTCAATGGTCTAAAAATAAAAATGCTCCCTTACTCCCTTCCTGCTCTCTTTTGCCAACTCCATCCTTCAGCAGATTCTTTATCATTCTTACAATTTGGGGGAGTGTTTGGGGGATATCTTTCAGGTCCAGGTTGCCAAGGGACTAGTATTATTTTCACAAAAGCCTGTGAAGAATTGGGTTCTCTTAAGAATCATGTGAATTGAAGAGAGAACCTTAGTCAAGTCTCAGATGACACCACAGCACAGTAACATCTTAATTGCAGCCTGTAAGACTTTAAATGGTAAGATATGTCTGAAAGTCTTATTGATTGGAACTGGATGAAAATATGTATGCATTATTTTTAAGTTGATACATTTGTAAAAATCATATGTATTTGTAGATATCTAATATAATATTCATTGTGTGCCCCTCCAACACCACAACAGACCTTGATTAAAACTTAAATCCCTTGCTATTTAGTGTTTCTGCATATGTATATTTAGTATGTAGTATTTCCAAGTTTAGAAAGGAGGCACCACATAAATTATCTCCTCTGAACTTGGTGTCACTTGAGGAACTTTCTCCATATCATGGTCTATATCCAAAGACCCTTACATGCTTCCTTGAGTACAGTCTGCGCATAATAAATGTTCTTTGCATCCAATTTCCTCCTATAACACTTTTCAAATACTTGAGGACAAACGTTAGAATCTTGATTGGGTACAAGGGCAAGTTGTTTTGCAAGTATATGAAACTAGATCACAGGAAGGCTAAACATGACAACTACATGGTGATATGTGTATAATGACAACTTTTCAATGGAGTTCTCTTGATTAATGAAGACCTTCATTTGTGCAATTCCTAAGAAAATTATTAAAAATCTATTGTCTCTTATACTCCATTTTCAAAGGCACTGCCTTCTCATTACGAATAATAAAAATATCATTCTGAAAAAAGAATAAACTTAAAATGACTAATTTAGCTTTTAAGGCCTACTAGTCAAGTGAAAAGTAAAATATTCCTTTTATAAAACTGATATGCTTTCATTTTGATAATTTAATACATTGAAAAATGGTCATATTCCTGGTCCACATTCTGTTTAATGAATTTTTTTGAGGATTCTTGCTGAGAGCATTTTAGAACTTATTTTTTCAAATTCCTTTTGAGGGCATTAATGAGATTAAATGGAATATTATTTTTTCTTTTCAATAAATGTGTCTTAAGTGAAATTATAGCACAGATTTTACAGAAAGCATATTTATATCATACATTATATATTGGATTAATATCTACTTTGCACTAACATATAGCCAATAAATATTTATTAAAATTAATTAAATTCTAGTGTTTGTTGTAAATACAGGGCAAAGGTCAAGGCACTTGGAATTAAATATGCCTCAGGTTTGTGTCATAGCCCCAATTATTGTAGGTTACATACCCTTAAAGAAGCCTGTTAATATTATATGTCTTAAACTCTTAGGACTAACAGAAGAGATGAATAAGATAACTGCAAGACCACAATACAAATTATCAGTTTCTTAAAAAAGCAATAAGCATCCAGAAAATTTATTGAAAATAAAAGCTATCCTGAGAGAGAGAGAGAGAGAGAGAGAGAGAGAGAGAGAGAGAGAGAGCACACAAGCTTTGCATATGTAAGTCTGATCTCCAATATGATTTGATCTCTTGAGAACTACAGGAAGCAATCCCTGTGTATGGAGCTAGCAGTATCTTCTGAAAACCACTAGGTGTGGCCTCTAAGAATAATAATAAAACTACCCTTAACAGTCACAAGTACAAATAGTACTTTAAGGCAAAGTTATATATAAATAACATATATAAAATAATAACATATATAAGATAACATGGAAATATAGGGACTGGAGTGATAGCACAGTGGTAGGGCGTTTGCCTTATGCGCGGTCAGTCTGGCTGAGCTGGATTCGATTCCTCTGCCCCTCTGGAGAGCCCGGCAAGCTACTGAGAGTATCTTGCCTGCACAGCAGATCTTGGCAAGCTACCCGTGACATATTCAATATACCAAACACAGTAACAACCAGTCTCACAATGATGGAGACGGTACTGGGCCCGCTCGAGCAAATCAATGAACAATGGGAGGACAGTGCTACAGTTGGACAGTGCTATATATAAATATATATTGGCAAAGTCATATATATAGTATATATGACCAATATATATGTTGACTATAACTGGTAGTGCTTTTTGCATTTTTGCTTACTCCTAGCTAGCACAGCGTTTGCCTTGCACGCAGCCAACATGGCCGACCCGAGTTCGATTCCTCCGCCCCTCTCGGAGAGCCCGGCAAGCTACCGAGAGTATCTCGTCTGCAAGGCAGAGCCTGGCAAGGTCCCCGTGACGTATTCGATATGCCAAACACAGTAACAACAAAGTCTCCAATGGAGACGTTACTGGGCCTGCTTGAGCAAATCAATGATCAACGGGAGGGCCTTTACCTTTTACCTGGCTCTGCACTATGGAACTGAACCAGAATTGGCTGTGTGTAAGGCAAATGGCGGGCTCACTGTACTATTTCTCTAGTCCAGATATTTTTAATTAAAACACTGGTTCTTGATCTCTTTGACTTAATAACAACTTTCAAATTAAAGATATTTGTGCTCGCTTCAGCAGCACATATACTAAAATTGGAATGATACAGACAAGATTAGCATGGTCCCTGCTCAAGGATAACACACAAATTGTGAAGCATTCCATATTTTTAAAAGAGAAAAAAAATTAAAAATATTTGGGGACCCTCTCCAAAATATGAGAACCTGAAAGAGTTTTTCTTTATTTTTTTTACCTCTTTTGGTATTAACCCTATTTATGTATTTATTTTCATTCAGTCACCATGAGATAGACCATTACAAAGCTTTTCATATTTGGGTTTCAGTCATACAATGTTCCCCACCTCTCCACTAGAATACATTTCCCACCACTAATGTCCCAGTTTCCCCCCAACCATCATCCAACCTACCTTCATAAGCCCATGGGAGGCATTTTTCTTCTTTCTCCCCATCCCTTCATGGTCCTGGCTGTCAAGCCCATGAACTGCCTCCTGGTGCCATTTAAGTGCATTAATGGTCATGATCCAAAGACTCACAATTGAATCTCGGAACTGAGCAGTTGGCTGCAGAAATGTCTCTGGACCCCAATTATTTAAAATTTTAGAATTTCAGGAGCGTGCAGCCATGCAACATCTCATACTAATTTTTTATTTTTACTTTTTTGTTGAATCACTATGAGATAGACCCTTACAGACATCTCGTAATATTCATAACAAGCAATACAAAAGTAAATTATCTAGCATCTGCCTGTGGGGCTGGTTTGAGTGGTGTGGTGGTGGGGAAATTTGAAATAATAGTGGTATGAAAGTGTAATGGTGGTTGGACTGGTGTTGAAATAGTAAATGTAATCAATTATTGTGAATGGCATTGTGAAAATAAATAAAAAATTAAAAATATATAAAAATAAAATAAAAATATTGTTAGGACCTTATAAAAAACAGCAAATTATAATATGTTGATATATGTGATCTTTTAAATAAAGCAGCTACTTTTTCCAAAAAATAAAATAAATTAATGCACAGTCATACTAATTGACATGTTTTCATTCAAATATTCAATGCCTTTCTTACTAGAGGTCAGGCATATTTTTATATTGTTGTCAGATCACCTGTTTCTGAAAATCCTCACTATTACTTGTTAGATACTGCACTGCACTGCACTGTACTGTCCTCCCGTTGTTCATCGATTTGCTCGAGTGGGGCCAGTAACATCTCCATCGTGAGACTTGTTGTTACTGTGTTTGACATATTGAATACATCATGGGTAGCTTGTCAGGCTTTGCCGTGAGGGCGAGGTACTCTCGGTAGTTTGCAGGGCTCTCCAAGAGGGGTGGAGGAATTGAACCTGGCTTGGCTGGCCAGCTGCATGCAAGGCAAATGCCGTACCGCAGTGCTATCACCCCAGCGCGAGAATTCAAATGACAAAACTAGCTTAATAGCATTGAGAAAACAATTTTTTTCAATTTTATTTTATTTTTTAAATCATATTTTTTATTAGTGAAACACCATGAGGTACAGTTATAGACTTATAAATTTTTGTGCTTGGGTTTCAGTTATACAGTAATCAAGCACCCATCCCTCCACCAGTGCCCATCCTCCCCCACCACGGGTCCCAGCATCCCTCCCACCCCCCATCCCTCCCCCGTCCCACCCTGCCTCTGTGGCAGGGCATTCCCCCTTGTTCTCTCTCTCTTCTTTTGGGTACTGTGTTTTGCAAGAGAGGCATAGAGGCATTGAGTGGCAATCATATTTGGTCTATAGACTACTTTTAGCATGTCTCTCCCACCCTGGGAGGGTCCTCACAACACCCTTTATTTAGTGCTCTCTTCTCTATCTGAGAAAACAATTTTACCCTTGTGCAATCTCTGATAGAAACTCACTGACCCCCCAAGTGGACATAAAGGTTTCAGTGCTAATTTTTTTTGGGGGGTCACACCCGGCGATGCACAGAGGTTACTCCTGGCTCTGCTCTCAGGATTTACTCCTGGCGGTGCTCAGGGGATGATATGGGATGCTGGGAATCGAACCCGGGTCGGCTGCATGCAAGGCAAATGCCCTACCCGCTGTGCTATCTCTCCAGCCCCATTCAGTGCTAATTTTTATACAAATAATTTTAAGCAAGAAATATGAAAATGACATTTAACTTTAAGTAAAATATTCTTTATAAATAATGGGACATTAAATGCTACTGACTGGTATCATACTTATGAAGTTATAAACTAGCCACCAGATTAAGACACATGCACAACCCCAATATGATCTCAATTGAATGCTGTATTGAACTTGATAAAGGCACTGAAGAGATGGTATAGTAGGTAAGGTGCTTGTCTTGCTAGTGGCTGGTTTTGGTTCACTTCCTGAAACAGTATATATTCTCCATGCCCCATTAGGATTGATCCTTGAGCACAGAGCCAGGAATAAACCTTGAACACAGCCAGTTATGGCCCCAAATCTCAAACTAAAATAAAGTAAATAATAACTCTGTAAACTTTGTATAACATTTATATGGGAAATAAAATACCTGAAAGCAACCAGCTACATATAAAGCTATATATTTAAGAATGAAAGACTTATTCTGTTGAGATTGAGATATATCATCAAGCCATGATGTAGTACCAATTCTTTGTGACTTAACCTACAAATTTAGGCTTATCACTGTCACAGTATGACAGGGGTGGGGGAGTTATTATTTTATTTTGTTATGTTGAGTTATGTTTGTGAACTGTGACACTGATTCTAAATGTATACGGAATAGAACTGAACCAATGAAAACCACAATATTCCTGATAGAGAAAAATTTTTGTCAGCATTGCATACAAAATTGTCAAAACTTATTATGAAGGTATTACTATAGCTTAATATAGTGTGTCATTATTGAAGAATAGAAAACTGAACAATGGGGCAGAATATAGAACTTCTCAAGGGTACTCACAGATGGAAATCTAATGACAGTGATGGCATTACAGAACAGTGAGGAAAAATGGATCTTACAATAAATGGTGCTGGGAGAGTCATTCATATGAATAAAAATGACACTGAGTTTTTATGTTGTCCTGTGAGTAAAAATCAATTCCAAATAGATGATAGACAAACAATACAGATAAATGTGAAAGGCAAAACTATGAAACTTTTAGAAGACAATATAAGAAAATATATTTGCAATATTAAGGATGAAGAAGAAATCTTTTAAAAACTAAAAGCATAAATAAAATTACTGACACATTTTTATTGCATTGCATGTAAAAACATTTCTTTATCAAACATGATTATACAAAAAATAAGAAAGGCCTAGGGATGTGACTCAGTGGTAAACAGTTTGCTTGCATGGATGAAGCCAGGAGTACAAAAAGGCAAACCCTACAGCTTGGAGTGTTATTCCTGGTACCATAACCAGCAAACACTGTAACCAAATCTGAGAACATTACAACCAAGTGTTTGACAATGGCACACAAGAATGACAACAACTTCAACAAAGGAAGCGGAAAAAAATCAAGCTATGTCCAAGTCAAAAATATAAACAGATCATTAAATGGACTAAGACTTTAGGTTTGCATATAGACACACACACATAAATAAGATAATATAATAAGACTGAAAAAAACATTGGGACACAAACACAAATGTTAATTATTATAGCCTACAAGTCCTACTCATCTACTCATTCTGTTTACTCCTAGGGTGGTTAAGAAAATCAAATGAGGGGCTGGAGCAGTAGCATAGTGGGTAGGGCATTTGCCTTGCACTCTGCTGATCCGGGTTCAATTCCCAGCATTCCATATGGTCCTCAGAGAACCACCAGAAGTAATTCCTGAGTGCATGAGCCGGGAGTAACCTCTGAGTATCGCTGGGTGTGATCCAAAAAGCAAAAAAAAAAAAAAAAAAAAAAAAAAAGAAAGAAAGGAAAAGAAAATGAGGGACAGCAGGAACAGGTTGGGGACTTAAGAGTACCGACTTTGCAAGCACACAGCCACAAGTTGAAATGCTCTGTGTCCCGCATGGCCCTGTGTCCCATTTGCCCTAAGTGTGATCCTGAAAACTCTTCCATTTGAGCCTTGCAGCTGTGCTGTCTGTGATCTCTGGTGCCACAAGCTATTTTTTAAAGTATCTAATGAGACAATAAATATGAAGTAGACCTGCTCATGGGTAAGTGCCACAAATATTAGCATGTACAATTATCATTGCCTTATTATTGGATGGAATTACAAAGTGGCTTATTATTTTCTTCGCACTACTATTAAGGTAATTTTCACATATCTTGATCTACTAAAATGTAATCATTAAATTTAGGGGAATTGGCTTTACTAGATTTACAGTCCCCGTGAGAACTTGCTGGAATTGAGGTTTTATAATATTTGCAGCATTCAAGCAATTTGCTTGATTCAGTCATTTGAAGTCATATAACTTTGCCCAGGAAGGGAAACGAAATGGCAACAGCAGTCACCATGTTCAAGTTGTCAACTTGCACTATTAGCTGACTTTGATTCTTAAAGGCACCCATCAATTTCCTTAAAAGTTTTGCTTCCTGGAGCTGGAGCAATAGCATAACGGGTAGGGCATTTGCCTTGCATGCAGCCGACCTGGGTTCTATTCCCAGCATCCCATATGGTCCCATGAGCACCGCCAGAAGTAATTCCTGAGTGCAGAGCCAAGAGTAACCCTTGTGCACTGTCAGGTGTGACCCCCCCCCGTTTTTTTTTTTTTTTTTGCTTCATACTTAGGTTTTCCCTTATATGTTTAGTTTTTTAAAGGGGAAGAGACAACTACTTGGGAAGCTAAGAATGTTTATCTTTGTTCCAAAAACATTTGAAATAAATCTTTATCTCTGACTTTGCTAAATGCAAATTTGGTCATAACACAAACAAAAAAAAAAAACAGAAACTAAACAGACATTTCAGGCAAATGCCAAGCCACTAAGGAACCTAATACAGGATCACTGAGTAGTGTCATGGTCCTAGCAGGAAACGTCAAATGCTAGTAGTCATAATATTAAATTACAGTATAAATTTGGGTGCTAAATTGTGTCTCTCTGTCTATAGGGAATGACTTGGGAATTTTTTGTAGGAAAGAGAACAGGAAAACATTTGGAATGATTTATAGACTAAGCAATGTCAAAAGAGAAAAATCTTTTTAAACATAGTTTAAAAAGTTTTATGTT